TGGGAGTTGTCTTACCAACTCTGAGAGGCCAATTAATTAAGAGAAAAAAAACTTTTGAAGTGATAATCAAGCTAGCCCAGAAACCATTTAGCTGGCTCAGCACAGAAGCTCCTAGTCTTTGTGAAAATACTCTCAATTGCTATTTTGATGAATAGGGTCTTTGTGAAAGATCCCAGCTGGCTCCGAAGCAGATCCCATTCTTTGTGAAAGGAGCCACTGCTGTGTCAGAGATCCCTTCTTAATTAGCAATATACATTATAATCCATTTCTTATGCACAATGTTTAACTAATGGAGATCATGGAAAAAAGTTACCAACATGAAAAATTCAGAAAGGAAAAGTTTGTTTTGCAAAGGGAAAGTGAAATGTCTCATTGATAGCAAAGGAAAATGAACAGTTTGTTTCATAATATGTTGACCATCTCTACTTTTGAATGCTTTATGAGAGCAATACAGTACTACTTACTGTCACATGCCCCTAGTCATGTGCTTTCTATACAAAACTGGAGCTTAAAACAGTAGAAAAGAGGATTTTCTAGCCTAGTAGCATTTGTGTGGTGTTACAGAGGAAGATCTTCAACAAACAGGATAATTTCATAAAGAAAAGGATCTCTGTGAAAGTGCCTCTTTATGAAAAGGGAACTCCTGAGCTGGCTGGGTAGTTTCATGAATATCTTGTTTTTCATAAATGTGCCCAACTGCCTCAGAGGAGAGCTGGCTTGTGCACTTTCACAAAGACCCTGTTATTTTGTGAAACTAGGCACTAATGTGTTGGCAACCTTTGTTTAAAAAAAAAAAACCTGGGAAAGTAATGGTGCAAAAAATACGACTTAAGGTTGCCCATATAATATATCTAAAATACAAAACACAAGGAAATAAAAAAGGAATATAACAATATCTGCCTTCTACTGCTTCACCTAGAGACCATATTACCACTAAAACATCCACCACAACACCTTAATTTTGCCCCAGTAGATACCAACCAGCCTTTCCCCAAGTCACTCAACACCATAAACAGACCCAGCCTTGCACTCTGCGTTGCTCTGGAAAACCAAACTGGCTCATGTTTGGGGAAGGGCATCTGGATAACGGGACAGAGCTGGGGCTGTGGTGTGTTGTAGGGCGGGTGGGTCTAGCGAGGCTGGAGGAACAGGAAGTGTTTCCAGACGCGTAGTGGCCGACACCTCAACTTTTAATTTCCTTGCTTGTGTGGTTGCAGAGCCCCTGCACCCCCTCCCCAGCCTTTTCGCCTGCAGTTCCCCGGGCAGGAGCGCCGGGCGGGCAGAGCGGTGCGCGCCCATTTTTCCAGGGGCCTGGGCACGGGACCCGTTGCTAACCCGCCACTGTGTGGTAGGTGCGTTATAGCCGGAGCCACCTGGAGCGCTGCGTGCGCCGCGGTTACAGGGGGACACGCTATTCAATAGGCACCGTCTCCCCGGGGTGCAGGGCGGGGCACACTGAGGAAAGGCGCTAGGTGTCATCACCCCCGAGCCCGCCTGGGGCGGCCCCCAAAGCACCTCAGGGGCCGGTTACTCGCCGCCTATAGAGACGAAGGGGCAGCGCCTCCCCTCGGGTAGGTTCACACCCGCCGGGGAGCCCCGCTCTCCCCGCCCCCGGGCCGTGCGCGCGGAAGTGGGGCTGACGCGGCGCCGCCGCCGCCCGGGATTGTGGGAGCGGGAGGGGACCGAGGCGGAAGGTTTCCGGCGCTTTCGCGCAGACGTGTCCGGCTACGGCCCCGCTGTCCCAGCCGCTGTTCCGGCCCGTCCTTCCGCAGCTGCCGCCTCAGCCCGGGCCGGCGGCGCCATGTCCGGGACCAGCAGCCCCGAGGCCGTGAAGAAGCTGCTGGAAAACACGCAGGGAGACCTGCGGGGCCTGAGCCTGGAGTGCCGGAAGAAATTCCCCCCCGTCAAGGAGGTGAGGGGCTGGGGCGGGCCAGAAGGGGGTGGGGCAGCGTCCCCGTCTCACCCCCTTGTCCTGGGGCCCCCTCGGAGCTAGGCCGGCGCCTGAGAGGCCGGGGGGGGCCTGGCTGCGGTGTGCTGGGTGTGCTGAGCCCGCCTGCGCTGGGCAGGTGCCGGGTGCGGGCTGGTAACCCGAGTTATGTTGCTGACAACTTGGTTCTGTCTTTGCTCCGGTTTATAACCACCAGGAAGATCTGGCGCTTCGGGTTGGACTTGAAACTTTTCAAGCCTAGTCTCTGCCCAGAGATGGGTGTTGGGGGGTGAGGGTGGGAAGAGTTGTGTTCCTACTAGTTCAGCAGGCTGAGCTCAGGTAGTGTGCTGAAAAATGCTGCTTCTCGTCCGTCCCGTTCCCACCTACTCCTCCCCCCCCCCCCCAAAAAAAAAAGTCTTACGGACTTTTCATAATCAGTTCAGGTGCGGGTTGAAAAATGAAATTTAGCAGGGAGATACCTCTTAAAAAGGAGAAGTAACTCTGAATGATCTGATGAAATTTGCTTGAAGCTTGGCTCAGTTATGAGGCTTTGCACATATTTTGCACATATATTGTAAATGTTGAACAATAGCAGTATTTTTAACAGGAGTCAGCCAATTATAAAAGAAAGGGAAGGTAGGCTGCATTAGGTGTATATTGCTAATTTAGTCCCTGGTTCTTTGCGGGCAGATCCCTTTGCTTGCATGGCACCCCATTGACTTCAGTGGGGTTTCATATATGTACAGGGTTCTAAATTCGCAGATCTAGTTGTGGAACTGAGGTTTTATCTATGGAGTGGATGTGTACCTCTCCTGAATGAAGGTCTCCAAATTCAGTGTATCTTGTTTAGAACCACTGAAATCTTTGTCAGCAGGTAAAGTTATCCATCATGCAAGGTGCACACTAAGTGCATCAGAGCTCTTCATGAACTCTTTCGCTGGGCATGTGCTTTGCATGTCAACAAGTTGTTTTGATTTCAAGTGAAGGAACTTATTTTCTTTTCTTAAAAAAAAAAGAGAGAGCTTTATTTTTTATTAATGAAATTTCAATGTTAAGAACCAAATTTATTATAAGTTCTGAAATCAAAATTAAGGTTGCAAATGCAGTCTTAGATCAACATCAACTTCAAAATCACACTTGTCTGAATTTAACCTCTTTTCTTAAAGTGTCAAGATTACAATAGCTGAAAGAGATAGGATTTTCCTTTTTTGATTATTTTATGCATTTAACAATATTTTGTGTGTAGTTAGTTTTCCTTTTTTCACCTTGGTAGTATGTCACTTCCCATTTTTTGTGGGTTTTTCTCACACAAACAAGAAGAGGAAAAACACACTTAAAACTGTAAAAAATGATTGTAAAACCACAAAAACTGAAAGTTTGTGTTACCTGAAACAACTCATTTCTTTTGACTGCATTTTACATTGACAGTGTCCCTTTAACTCTGCTTCATTTTGCATATGTAGTATGATGTAGTCTCTAATCACATGCTCATATATCTCAGATAATACTGTGTCATAACAGTTTTTCATTCTCATTGTAAAGTGCTTAGTGCAGGGGTTCTCAAACTTCATTGCACTGTGACTCCCTTTTGACAATAAAAATTACTACAGGACCCCAAAAGGGAGGACCGAAGTCTGAGCCTTCCCAAGCTCTGCCACCCTGGGGGGGGGGGGGGGAAAGAGGAGGAATGGGGAGAGGCGGAGGCAAAGCCAAAGCCCCACTGCCCCAGGCCGGAAGGCCAAAGCCGAAGCCCAAGGGCTTCAGCCCCAGGCAGGGGGCCTGTAACCTTAGCCCCGCTGCGCAGGGCTGAAGCCCTCGGGCTTGGGCTTTGGCCCTGGGCCCCAGCAAGTCTAAGCCAGCCCTGGCGACCCCATTAAAATGGGGTTTCAACCCACAGTTTGAGAACCTCTGGCTTAGTGAATGAAGCAAAGCTAATCATTAAACATTTTGTCTGAAAATTCATCTTTGTCTGACTTAGAGTAATACCCCAACATATAAAATGTTGCATGTGAATCTAGGTTGTAGAAAAATATTGTATGATATACTGTTTTACTTGAGAAATAATATGTGATCAAATATGTTTTGCGTTGTGGTTGTCACTTCACCTTGAATGGTCTCTTAGAATATGTATATACAGTATAGTCCCAGGATATTACAGAGACAAGGTGGGTGAGGTAATATCTTTTATTGGACCAACATCCGTTGAATCATAGAATCATAGACTATCAGGGTTGGAAGGGACTTCAGGAGGTCATCTAGTCCAACCCCCTGCTCAAAGCAGGACCAATTCCCAACTAAATCATCCCAGCCAGGGCTTTGTCAACTTCCAAGGAAGGAGACTCCACCACCTGCCTAGGTAACGCATTCCAGTGCTTCACCACCCTCCTAGTGAAATAACCACCCTCCTAGTGAAATATGATGAGAGAGACAAGCTTTTGAGCCACACAGAGCTCTTTTTCAGGGCCAGCTTGTCTCTCACCAACATAAGTTGGTTCCAGTGAAAGATTGTACATACATCACCCAACCCGTCTCTCTTAGGTTATGTTTCAATTACTTATGTTCAACAATCTGTTCCACATTATATTTAGTTGTGACGCTATGGGTATGTCTACGCTGCAATTAAAAATTTGTGGCTGGCTTGTGTCAGCTCGCTAGGGCGAAGGGGCTGTTTAATTGCAGTGTAGATGTTCAGGCTTGGGCTGTGGCCCAAGTTCCGGGACTTGCCCACCTCACAGGGTTCTAGAGCCCAGGCTTCAGCCCAAGCCCAAACATCTGGATTGCAGTTAAACAGCTCCTTACCCCAAGCCCCGCGAGCCCAGTCAACTGGTACGGGCCCGTGGTGGGACTTTAATTGCAATGTAGACATTACCCTATGAGTACCTTTCCCAGATCTGAAGAAGAGCTCTGTGTAGCTCAAAACCTTTAAAAGATATTACCTTAGAGAAGCCATTGTGTTTAGTAATCTGTGAGGTTGAGAAATCTTGGAATTGCTTCAATGATGAATAGCTGTGGCATGAGGAGGAGAGAAATCATGAAACATACTCTTCATCTCTCCCACCCACCCCCCTGTTCCCGCCCTAAAGTCTTAGGTGCTTTTTCACAGCATATGTAAGAGCATGTATCCTAAAGCTCCAGCAGTTCAGCCAGCATCTTTATCCTTTATCCTAGGCTTATACGTTCTGGTAGGAGACCAATAGAGGTGTACCTGGTGACTCACTAGGTGATGTCACTTACAATGACATTTAATACTGGGCAAAATGGATCCTACAAAAAACAAACAAACAAAAATTCTAATGTCTTGAGCATATATTGCTGGCAATATTTTGGGTATAGTTAATATGCTATACTTAACCTTTCTGTAATTCAGAGTTTCTCAAACTTCATTGCACCGCGACCCCCTTCTGACAACAAAAATTACTACACGACCCCAGGATGGAGGACTGAAGCCTGAGCTCGCCCGAGCCCCATCGCATGGGGGGGTGGGGATGGGCAAAGCCTGAGCCCCAATATCCCAGGCGGAGGGTCCGAAGCCGAAGCCCCAAGGCTTCAGCCCCAGACACCAGGGTCTGTAACTGAGCCCCGCTACCCAGGGCTGAAGTGCTTGGACTTCGGCCCTGGGTCCCAGCAAGTCTAACGCCAACCCTGGAGACCCCATTAAAATGGGGACCCACAGTTTGAGAACCATTGCTGTAATTGAATGGAAAAACATCAATTTACTAGGACATTCAGACTACCCCTTGTGTTTTTCTTCATTTTTGGCTGTGTTATGTAATGGTATACAAGTCTTATTTGTATCTCTATAGATTTACACTATACATGGAGGTGTTCTGAAAATGAAAAATATATTCTGAGGCCAAAGAGTGATGTGATGATCATAAAGTTGGAAAATGCCTCATCAGTTAATTACACTGATGCAGAACTTACTCCATTTTACTACAGAATTCTATTTCTATACTATAGGAATTGTCCCTGTGGTAGAATATCAGGGCAAAAGTGGAAGATTAAACCACTTGCTTATGGTTAAAGTACTAATGGTAGAGCAATAGTTGATCCTCATGTTTACTACTCATAACATTAAATAACCTGAATTGTTTCTATATACAATATATGTGTTTATCATTTGCTATAATAATTCTTTTGTTTAACATAGTAGGCTTGGTAGTCTTTATCCTTTTTTGGCAGGAAGTAAATGCTTAACTTCTAAATTTGCATTGAACTGCATGGTATTAATAACACACAACACAACTAACCACTATTTTAACCTATTAGGCCTGGTCTACACTACGGGGTTAGGTGGAATTTAGCCACGTTAGTTCGATTTTAAAATGACTGCGTCCACACAACCAACCCCGTTCAGTCGACCTAAAGGGCTCTTAAAATCGACTTCTGTATTCCCACCCCGGCGAGGGGAGTAGCGCTAAAATCGACCTTGCTGGGTCGAATTTAGGGTGGTGCACTCAGCTATCCCAGAGTGCTCCATTGTGACTGGTCTGGACAGCACTTTGAACTCCGATCCACTAGCCAGGTACACAGGAAAACTTTTGAATTTAATTTCCTGTTTGGTCAGCGTGATGAGCTCAGCAGCACAGGTGACCATGCAGTCCCCCCAGAATTGCAAACGAGCTCCAGCATGGACCAAAAGGGAGACACTGGATCTGATTGCAGTATGGGGAGAAGCATCTGTGCAGGCTGAACTCCGATCAAAAAGAAGAAATGCAAATATATTTGCCAAAATCTCACAGGGCATTTTGGACAGAGGCTACAACAGGGTCACACAGCAGTGCCGTGTGAAAGTTAAGGAGCTCAGGCAAGCCTACCAAAAGACAAAGGAGGCAAACGGTCGCTCCGGGTCACAGCACCATACATGCCACTTCTGTGACCAGCTGCATGGCATTCTAGGTGGGGACCCTACCACTATCCAACCAGTGTCTGTTGACACCTGCAAGCAGGGAGTCTCACGCAAAAGGGATGAGGAAGAAGAGGAG